CTAATCTGGCCACAGTGATGCACACCCTGGTGATTTACAGACAGGAATACTGGAATGTGCTTTATGTGAGGACTAGGAAAAAGGCCTGTTCTGGAAATAAATACAACGGCCTCTAGAAAGAGGCTCTGGGTGGGTGCCCCGGCCTTGGACACTCAGTGTCAATTTGCTGTGGTGACCTCAACAGGGTATAATGACACTGAGTCCACCATTTTCTCCAGAGGAACTGATCTCTGCTACCTAAAGAACAGTTGTAATTTTGAGTGATCTCCAGCCCTCACCTGGAGATTGGCAACGATGGTTCCCCAGAGGGAATGGTTGGTTTGGAAGGTAGAGTCTATGGCTTTGGACCTGTCCGAGGTCCCACGCCTCCTGAAACCTCACCCTCTCCAGGCTCCATCCCGCACATCTCCAGAAATTTCCCACCTGGAGTTGGCAACCCTGTCTCCTTCCCAGCCAATCATCATCCTACCTTTATTTTCCCCTCACTCTTCAGCTTTCCACCCCCCCACACACCTGCAGCCTCTCCCGTGCTCTGAAGCCCTGACTGCTACGTCACATTGGTTGTCATATGGGGGCCACCTCAGCAGCATATAAGGATACAGAGCCCACCATTTTCTCCTGGAGAACTGATCTCTGCCATCTGGAAAGCAGTTGTAATTCTGAGTGATCTCCAGCCCTCACATGGAGATTGGACACATTTTACCTCAGAACAGCAAAACTGTTTAGAATGTTAGAGACAAAAGCCAATCAAGTTGCATATGCAAACGACCTCTGTGTTCCAAGGCAAAGGCCAATGAGGCTGCATATGCAAATAATCTCTGTGTTCTGACTGGCTATGGGGGAGAGACAAACAGCAACTGTTTAGAATGTTGGAGGCGAGACTCAGGCAAAGCAGCCAGCGAATAGGGAGACCCTCTGAATGACAGATCAGAGAGCGAACTGATTTTGGAGTATGTGGAATGTTCTAGAGAAGTGCCACCACCATTCGGCTTTTATTTATAAGGGAGATTTCGCGGGTTCCTGCCCCCTGCTGGCCAGTTGGCCAGTGAGAGGAAGCCCTGCCCCCAACAGCCAGAACCCAGCACAAGGTTCCCAATGTGATGACATCACACAGGCGTGATGTCATCATGCTGGGGATGTTGTGCGGCTACACTCTGGTATTTGGGGGAAACTACCCTGCCCCCCTACTCCTGGAGAGCTCCCTCCCATCCCCCACCAGCGAGAAGGTTAGACCTGGCAACCCTAATACTGGCCCGGTGCGATGACATAATCCAGAAGTGACATCATTGTGCTGGGCACGTCATGTGGGGAATGCTCTAGTTTTTCGCCAAAACTCTATGGTCACCATAGAGTTCTTAGCCAAATGCTAGAGCGTTCCCCGGTTGACTTGCCTAGTGTGACAGTGCTCTTCAGGGGTGGGGTGGGGCTCCCCCCACTGGCCCTGAACATGGGGGAACCTCGCACCCATCAGGGAGCTGGCAACCCTCCTTTAGGGGCATGTTCACATGATGAGGCCTCAGCAGCAGCAACAAAATGCTGTGGTTTCCTCCCCCGAGAAGCCATAGCCAAACAGTAACCAAAGAAGCCAAACAAGTGAGATCAGGCATGAATAAACAGAATCAAATCAGAATGAAAACTGTGAATGTCACCATCATCCCAGCCCAAAAGCCTGATGAAAAGAGATAGCTTTATTTTGTCTTATGAGAGCTTGAATCCTGACCTGGATAACCCAGGCTAGTCCAATCTTGTCAGATCTTGGAAGCTAAGCAGGGTTAACCCTGGCTAGTATTTGGATGGGAGACTTCAAAGGAATACCAAGGCCACTACAAAGAGGAAGGCAATGGCAAACCACCTCTGAACATGACTTGCCTTGGAAACTTTACATGGTCACCATAAATCAGCTGTGACTTGACAGCAAAACAACATGAAAGCTTGATGCTTGATGTTGTATTGATTTAAACATAAATGGAATCAATTGTATTAAACCATTAACTGAATTAATTTTGGAAACAATTTAATATAAATTGTTTTTATTTTTTAATGATTTCTTTCTCTAAGACACTTGGTGGTTTTCTCTGAAATGTGGCATATAAGTTTTTAAAATATATATATAAATGTGAAAGGAATAATATATTGTCCAGAAAAACACTAGGAAAAATTGAAAGGAATTCTAGGCTGCTGCATATTCTGTCTTTTATATCTTGTCTTTCCTTCAAGGAGCTCATGGTGGCACATATGGTTTTTCCATCCCTATTATATTCTCTACAGCAGTGCTGGGAAGTTGGCTAGCTGAGAGGGAGTAACTGGCCCAGGGTCACCCCATAAATTTCATGGCGAAGTGGGATTTGAACCTGTGTCTCCTAGGTTTCAGTCTAAGAGGTCATTATACCACACTGTCTCCATGAGGAAAACATCCTGTCTTCCTAATGTGCTTTAAACCACCAAAATGAATGGAGAACTCTATAGCAGAAGTAAAATGTGCCCAAATCTATCTCCTCTCCTGTGGATGAAGAAAGGGACCCTGGACATTGCTTTAAAGGTGCAGGGATTTTTCCTCTCATCTTTCTGTTGTAGCACTTGACCCTAGTTTATCTTATTCTGCTGGGGTAGCAAGTCTTAATGCAATTCCTCGAAGGCCTGGAAATTCCTACATGGATTTCACATCAGATTTGGAAGCTTTGGGTGGCAGTTCTTTTTTTATGATACAAGTTCCCAAATTTCTGCTACACAAAAAAACCAGACCATGAGCACATTGTACATAGAGCCATTTCTACTTAGCAGTAATATATTTCTTCCTTTTGTGTTTTGTGTAATTTGCTGAGGGTATAAAAGAAGGAAAGCCATATCAGGTTTTGAAGAGCACGGTATGGAAACTAGTACGACTAATAGTTAAACCATCCACCTGCTCATAAACTCTTAACTCCTTTATACTAGACTACGTACAAATTGAATCAATTTGTGGCTAAATACTTGGGTAATATAGTGTGCTATTTAGTGAGAGATTTATGCAAATTGCTTTTTTGGTTTCACACCAATGGGTCTTACATACTATAAGATTCATTGATAATGTAATTACACTATCACTTGCCATTTGAAAGCAGCAAGCTGCATAGAAGCAGCAGATTTAACTACCATATAGTAATGTTTACAGTCTTATACTTCAGTTAATAAAAGTATTCCTGCAGTGGATATAGCAATATATATAATAGCTAGTATCTTGTACATTTTATTGTGTTTTCCTCCCTTCCATTATTTGTGATAACTTTGTACATCTTTTTTTTATATATAGTTGGCTTGTAGCCAACAGATTGTTTGAGAGGGTGGAAGGGTATCTGCCTGTGGAGTGCAACTTCCTCACCTTCCCCCTCCTTCTGCAGCCCCAAATCCCCCTTTCAAGTAGAGTAGCATTTGGGGAACATTTTTGGTTGCAGCAGGCTGGGGGAGACAGGAAAGTAGGCAGAAATCCTTCTGTCTGCAGATGCACTCTCTTGAATCAGAGGCATGGTAAAACTCACTATACTTCTGTCTTACATTTTATTTCTTTTTGAGGGGCAGGTAGAGTCTACTGACCTTCATTCACGGTGTAGTGTGTCTCTCACATAACTTGCAGTTATATTCAAGGCTACACTTGTACATTATGCATTCTTTAACTGCGGTGTAGTGTCTTTGGTTTATGTTGGAAAATGCGTCTAATAAGAGCAATCTTAGCTGTTGAGATTGAAGTTAAGGATAATTCTGTAGGAGTAAAACTAAATTATGAGGTGGGGCATACAGACATTTTGGTAGCTGCTCTTAGCCTCAGAATGGTGAAGTGTTCAGGAGTGGGAGAAAGTCAGGTTTATACTGTCCTCTTTGTACCTTTTTGTACCTTGTGTTACACCCTGCTGCTATTACAGGTCACCAATTTTGTGTTTTAGGGCTCTTGGAAAGCTTTATACCAGGAGCCAAACAGCAAGTCAGTAGTATTCAAGGATCTGTTGGTCCCCTCCAGATAAAACATGCCTTGTAAATAAACAGTGCTACACATACTCTTAGGCTGTCATGGTTACGGTATCAGATGTAAAGTAGGCCTTCTTGCTTTTCAACAAATTCAAGTAACACATTTACATATCTTGTTCTTTATAGTAACCTAATGTGCAAAATTGACGATGTGTTAAGTAAACAAATCCCTGTGATAAGGCATTCCCCCTTCCTGCACTTCCCTCTTTGATTTAGAGGTGCAACTTGAGAAATATCGTTTAAGTCTCAGCAGCGCAATGCCAGTGAGTTGATGAGGACTGAGAGATTCAAAACATATCGTGCTTCATGATGGAATTATGACTGGGAATGCAAGCTATTATAACATTACCATTCACATTGTACCTTGAACTTCAGTATTACAGTATCAAAAGCCAGGTCTTCTCTCTTAAAAAATGATTGATTACGAGGCACAGATAATGGCCTTGGCTTCTATTTGGAGAAAGGACAGACAGTAAAGTACCGTGAATTGCAAATTCCTTTATACAAACATTTTAAAGGTGGGTTCACATAACCATTTTCTTTCTGTCACAAGCTTCCAGATACACCCTAGTGAAATTTCAGCCACAGATGACATTGTGGTCCATGAATATGGCATAATGATTATTCAAGATTCTGTTGTGTTTAAGCTGGGACTTAGAAGACAAGCTGCTGGTCAAAAGTTCCCATCTCATTTGGTTACTGTTTGAAAGTGTCTTGTATGCTAGATTGCACATTTGAAAGCCATGCTTAATTTATTTTGAGTAGTCATATTGAAGAAATTTGGCTAATCAAAGTTTACTGATCGAAAATAGTTCTCCTCTTTAAGATTTTTTTAAAACCTTAAATAGCCACAGAAAAACAGTTAATATACATTTGCTTGTTTCCTAACCTATTAAGAAATACCATGAAAAAGTTTCTTGGTTTACAAGTGAGTGTTGGGGTATTTTCTTCTGCCCATGTGACATGTTGTGATGCTTATACACTCTTCATCTTTTACCTAGTATCCCAGTCCCATGGAGAAACACATCACAGCTGTAAAAACAGTAGAAGAGAAAACAGGTAAGCTAGAGCCTTTCATGTTTGATTTCAGTGTTCAACTGAGCTTCTTTATAGTTCAGTATTCAGTTATTTACAGTGCTCGAGAGCCAGTTTGGTGTAATGGTTAGGAACATGGACTCTAATCCAGGAGCACTGGGTTTGATTGCCCACTCCTCCACATGAGTCAGTTACAGGCTCTTTTGGAGCTGTTCTCTCAAGAGCAGTTCTCAGAAGAGCTCTCTCAGCCCCACCTACCTCACAGGGTGTCTGTTGTGGGGAGGGGAAGGGAAAGGAGCTTGTAAGGTGCTCTGAGACTCCTTTGGGTAGTGAAGGGTGGGGTATAAATCCACTCTCTTCCTCTTTTGAGACAATATTGAGAATTATTTTTGTAAGATTTCTAGCTGTTAGGAATTCATTTGCTAAATGCAGGCAAATATTCTGGTATCTCTGGCAAGTGTTTGATAGTCCATGCATAAAATTTCTCTCTTGGCTTTAACCAGTCTCAAAAATATAATAGTTTAATGCTGCTTCATGAGGCATAAGCTGTGGCGGATAATGATAGTGGAATTACTTGGAATGGTTAGCATTACTAAAGCAAAATAAGATGGCTTTTCAAATTAATGACAAAGTATCATGTATCTAAAATGCAGTTCAGCTGTTCGGTTCAAAATGACCGACACAGCTACTTTGCCTTTGCTGAGTCTGACTCTTCACTAGTCTCTCTAGTTGTTGTCATGCCTCTTTGAAGCTAAGACATAAGGATGATAGGTAGGTAGTTCCTTCCACTCTCAGGTCTGAGTGAGACCTCTGCAGTAGAAGTAGCTCCAGTGGTTCTCCTTCCCTGCTAACTTGGCTTTGTCTCTCCTAACGTCAGGTTAGCAACCCTGAGTGGTCCATGACTTGTGGGGCCATTGAATGGGAAGATGAGAGGAGGGTGTTAGCTTACTATCTTGGCTCCTTCATCCCTAGATCTGTGCAGGTAGCACTGAGCTGACAATGGCTTAAAGGTATGGGAACAGGAAGAGGAGACTCTGCCCTTGGCTTCTTATCTACATCCCTTATCAGTTCGGCCTGAACTGGCATCTGCTTGAATGGTAGTGAGGCTGGGAGGAATATTCTTCTGCTTCCTACCCCCAACCCCTTTATCTTCACTGTCTACTTTGAACTTAGGTGTACCATTTACCTCCCTTCCTCCTCCTCCTTTTTCATTAACCAGATAGAAGATGAACTGGTTGTACTGCCAGTCCACCTCTAAAACTGAAAAAATAGGGAACATGAGAAAGAAAAACATAGCAGTCACTTTTGATAGGTATCAGTTGGTAGCAAGCACATCTCCCTCTGTTGCAGTGAGGGTGCTGGCACACATTTCAGAGGCCAGCTCAGAGGATTTCTGCTCAGCTCACAATCAAGCTTCCATAGGAAACTATGGAGGATGGGGGCACCTCCTTCTGCGGCCCATAGAATTGGACCCCCTGGTGTAATCTTTTTGAAACTAGGGGTTTTTTTTAGGAGAGGCACCAGCCGCTATGCTGCAAATTTGGTGCCTCTACCTCAAAAAACACCCCCCCAAGCCCTAGATACCCCTGGATCAATTCTCCATTATAGCCTATGGGGCCCATTGATTATAATGGTCCCCATAGGCTATAATTGAGCCAGAAAAAATGATTTTTTTTCACACCCCGTTATGCTTTTCAGTATGATTTGTAAGCTGCCTTGAGTCACAGGGAAAAGTGGGATATAAATATCTGAATAAATAAGTAGTCTGGTTGATAATATTTATGCAACTTCCTGATTGTTAGGTTAGGCAGCGTTCAGACAGTGATTGTTCCACTTTTGTTATACTTGAACTGTAATGCTGGTTGTCCTATTTCATTAAAAAAGTAGACTGCAAGATTCCCCCCCTCCCAAGTGCTGGTATGTTTTCTAAGGGTCAGTGCAGGGCAAGAGTCCAAGGCCAAGTCTACCAATATAGTGGAAAGGGGTGGGTCTACCAATATAGTGGATTGGGGCAGGTAGACCTGTTCTCCAGAGGCCAGGTTACCAATATAGTGGACTGGGGCAGGTAGATGTTTTCTCCAGAGGCCAGGTCTACCAATATAGTGGACTGGGGCAGGTAGATATTTTCTCCGGAGACTAGCTCTACCAATATAGTGGAAAGGGGCCGGGTAGACCTGTTCTCCGGAGGCCAGGTCTACCAATATAATGGCAAGGGGCAGGTAGACCTGTTCTCCGGAGGCGTGGTCTACCCCTGTACAGGATAAAATTTTGTGTAATGAAATTTGACTTGATTCTGTTTTCTCTTATAATCTTTAAATTATTCTTAAAATATAGTTTTAATAACTCATTCTGAGATTTTTATAAGGTTATGGAAATAATCTAAAAAAAGAATTCACGCAATAGTCAAATGTAGACTTGCTCACAACTTCAATGTTACTAGCTTTTTCACTCACGTGGTAGAATTTCTGCTCACAAGACTGGAGTTTAGAGGGAACAATGGCAAGTAGCTAATTACTAGTAATGAGCAATGCAGTTAGGTAGTTTTGGGCTCTGGACTTAAGAGTCTGAACCCCCCTTTATATATTAATGCTTTAGTTAAACCGCCCCGCCCCACTCTGTAACTATGGGCATTGGAAGAAGTCTTAAAGTCCTGGTCTTTGACACCCTGTTAATATCTAGTCTTACTAGATAATGTTATATTTCTGTTAGGAGAATTAGGAGGACAGGAGCCTTTCCTGCAGCTCCCATTCCCAATAGGTTCAACAGGAAGGGATAGAAACAGGCAAGGACCCTAATTGCATTCAAGAGGAAGGCAGTTGTTCCAAAGAATCTCTTATTTATTGAACTTCAGAACCATAATGCAGAAACTTTCAAATATATAAACATTTTAGTATGCAGCATACAAAATTAATCAAGTACCTAAAATAGAGTGCACTATAGTTTTATAGGATATATCCTGGTTGTCAAGACCCATAAAGAGGGTGGTTGGCATACCACAATGACCAAGAGTAAATCCAGACGTTAAATACTCTTTTGCCATCTATAGAAGCCAATGTAGCTGTCAATTTGACCTGTGATGAACATCTGATGCACTTGCCAAAATCCAACCCCTCATGTACCGCAAGCATGAAGTTTGCCTGTGATTAATGTAGTATCTATAAGGGCAAATTAATGTCCCCTCAGTCTGCAATTCATGATACTCAGGCTCTGTGACTCAGGATAGTCTGGGAACTCAGCAGTCAATGTACTGTGTATCTGCCCGAGAAAAACTCTCTGGTCAGCTTGGGTTTCTGAGGCCCCAGTCACACGGAGCATTAGGCATGCTAGAGAGACGGAAGATAGGCGGATTTTCCGGGCGCGATCTCACCGCCACATCTGGGAAGCGTAGAGCTCCCGTGGCGCACCCGAGGCTTCCCGCCGAAGATGCGGAGTAAAAAACTAGTACCTTGGAGGTACTAGTTTCCGGAAACCGCGGGGCAAGGGCGGGCGTCTGATTGCGTTTCCGGTGGTAGTTCCGAAGCCCACCCATGTCCCCTCGCAAAAAGGTTCCCCCCCAAGTCTCCACGGATGCGCACAAGCACCCAATGGAGCATGCACACATTTCAGTTTTAAAAAAACAACAACCCCATTTGCCGCTCCGCTTCTTTGCCGCATTGTGTGATCGGCATCTCCCCCCTAACCACGGGAGCTCGACGGGACATCAACCCGACGCTTGATCGCGCAGTCGCGCGTTAGTTTGCTCCGGGGCAAACAGCCACGCCTCCCCCCTGCATTTCCCTGCCCGTGTGGCCGAGGCCTTAGACTAGTATGGCAGAGTAATGTGGCCATCTCAATTTCTGGGTCTTATAAAATTGCATGAGAAGCAGAAAGCAGGAACAAGCCCCAGGGTAGAGGAAAAGGGATTTGGTGGCGTGCTTCCAGTGCAAATGCTAGTGAGGGACTGCATGAGAGGTGTTTACTGCAGGGAGATGAAATGGGCAGGGTTTCCACCATAAACTCTCGTTCTTTATTTCCTCATGCAATTTTTTAAGGCCCAGAGATTGAGATGGCAAGTAGGGAAGTGCCAAGTTATTTATTTTTCAAGTGTTTGAGTTCTGGACTTTTGATCACGTATTATGTATACAATCTATCCTTTTCTCTTGAGAAATATCCATTTATGATCCCTTGTAAATGTGTCAGTTTGAGAAAGCCAAGTATACTGCCAGAATGTTTCTTTAATGCATACTGCAAAATCCCCCCCCCCCTCAGAAAAAAATACAGATAAAGTTTGCTAGAAAGATATTCTTCTCTTCCAGAGCACTCTTTTTTTCTGCTGGGCTATTTGCCCGGTCAGATCATCAATTAACAGCATCCTGAGGTTTCTGGACTTGATTGGGATCATTAAATATTAAAATGCAAAGTGAATTTGGAAACCACTCATGTTCTCATTGCAGCTAAATCACTATAATTTGTGACTTTATTTTTTTTAAAAAGGAGAGAGCTTTGTTCTTGTCACTGGCCCAACTCAATATAAAAATAAATTTTAATTGTTCAAGAGAATTGCTTGAGGCCTCAAACTCTGACAATGGTGGGTGGAGAGGTATTTTGTGTTCCTAGGATGTACTTTGGAATGCCGTAGCAGAATGAGCCATTTTGAACCGAAGTGCTGACCCAAGAAGACATTTGAAGCTTGCGGCTAGCAACTTGAGTGCCTCAGAAATTAACTCCCTGCTTGCTGTATGCCAAACCTTGCAGTAATTCCAGTGTAGTTCTCACCAGTTCTGTGAAGGTTGCGTTTGGCACTTGCATATGATGCTTTGTTACAGCCAGCAGTGATGCCAGTAAAATGCTTGATCCACACCATCTGTTCCCAGGCTGGTAGGGGGAGCTGGTGTGTTGAGGTGGGCCCAAATGGGCCCCCTTTGGACTAAGCATATAATCCTAGAACTTTTTCATTACAGTCCATCTGGCAAATGGGCAGGAATCCTTTGCTTCTAAAGCATGAAGGGAAACTAAACCCCTCTGTCAGATACAGGCCTGTGAGCCTGCCTGCCTGTAGTTTCATTGCCACAGTGTTGTTTGTTTTGGGTTTTTTGAACTGTGAAAAAAGTATCTTATTTGCCAAAGCAGCATGGTTGTAATTTGTTTTGTTCTTTTATACTCAGATTTGTCTTCAGGAATTATATACCGGAGAAGGATTGCAACGTGCCAGAATGTAATTCCACAGATTTTAAGAAAGGTAATTCATGTCAGTCAATGCTGGAACATAGTTATTCTGGTTTTTCAGGATATAGGAGCATTGTACAAGTTTGTGATTCTGTTTCCCCAGGAGGGAAAAAAATTCCACTTGGCTAAGAAGATTTTAATTAGCTCATGCAATCCACGCTATAGGCAGATAGGACAGTGTTCAAACTCTGAATCGCCACCTCTGTCCCTCAGTACCTTAAAAGGGCAGTTATTCAAAACAAGGGTTGTGCTTAATGATGAAGCTAGAAAGAAGTATGGTGTTGTTCTTATAGCCTTGACTAAGGAATCTTGTTCTGCTGTGGTGATTTCTACGGTTTAAGCTTCCTTCTGTATCAGCATTTCAAGTTTCTACATCTCTCTGTGCAGACAATACAATATATTTACTCTGATTACAGAAGACCCACCCAGAGGAATCCAAGAGACAGGGACTAGTTCAAGCACATGTATGCCAAACACTTGATGAACACAAGATGGGTTGTCTTTTTGAATGAACCATCATAGATCTGCCACCACAAATGGAGCTTTCATGTCACTAAGCACCATTGTTCATATTTCAGTAGAATCACTTCACAGATTCAGAGTTGGTCTATCATGATGCTTTCCATGCTGTGAGTTCCCCACTCTGCTGCCACTCATATTATTGAGTGCAACGTAACTACTGATAATGTACATCTATCACTTTCACTATGTGGTGACTTGCTCAGGCAGCGAGTTCCACTAAACAGTCCAGATGAGGATAAGGGAAACTTGGTCCTGTGACAAGTGTAATGCATAGATGAACTCTCAGACATCTGGGTGACGAGCCATGATAAATCAAGTGATGTATTTGCATGTGTAAACCCCCTCAATGGCTTGCTTTCCTGCATTTTGAAGCCTACTGTAGGATCAGCCTGTGATGTGAGTGATTTTTAGCTAGTTTGACCAGCTCCTTCCTGCTGTTTAGTCTGAACAACAAGCTAGAGGGAGCGTGTTTAAGCATGCTGGCATATGGAAGGCTTTTCAGTGGCTGGAAAGCTATCTAGGAAGAGCAGAATTAGCAACTCGGTCCGATTTGCAAGCAGCTTTCTTTCTGGCAGTATTTATAATGTAGTGTTCTGCTGTGTGTTGCACGGCATTTTGTGAGCCATTGACTTTTTAACTTTACATTAAAACTCAAATAATGTCCGCCTGTCACATTTCTGTTTGCTTTTGCCATGCTTCATCCAGATGGGAAAACATAACATTTTCAGGTAAAATGAACCAAATGTTTTGTTTCGTGTGCAGCTGTCAGCAAATGCCTTATCTTAAAATTTGTTTCTTTAAATGGAACATTTAGGCAGCTAAAACGAAACATAAATTAAGTTGACGCTTATAATATTGCTACTGGCAGAACATTGTGAGGGACTAAACAGCAAGAATAAATCTTCAAATGTTTGCATGATTTCAGCAGTGACATCTGAAGTTTGCATTAAGGGATAAATGCTACCTGCGGACTAACAGTAATACCAAGAACAGAGCCCTTCATTGCATGATATAAGGATGAAAATAAATGCTGAATATAGGGGAACAGTTCTTTTTCTTTTCAAGTGGCCTGACATTATTGAAATGTGTAATCTTTATGTCTGACAGCTCAGTGTCCTAAAAGTTTCTGATGTCTACTTAGAAGAGGAATCTTGGCTTAATGTGCAAGAAAGAATTATGTCTATGAAGACTCGTTGCCTTACCTGGACACAGTATGCTTCTCTAAAAGAAGAGTCAGTCTTCAAGGAAAGCTTGGAGAATCCAAACTGGTAAAGTGAAGATTATGTGTGCATTGGACTGCACATCTACTTCTGCCTTAATTTCTGTCTTCTTTGCTAGATTACTCTGGAGGATCTGATGGCAGTTCTTGGGAGAACCTAGACAGCCACAGTATAGTCAATTTGGTGTAGTGGTTAAGAGTGCAGACTCTAATCTCGGAGAACCGGGTTTGCGTCCCCACTCTTCTATATGTAGCTGTTGGTATGACCTTGGGTCAGTCACAAGTTCTCCCAGAGCTTTTCTTTCTCTTCTCCTTCCTTCCTTCCTTCCTTCCTTCCTTCCTTCCTTCCTTTCTCCCCCCCCGTAGGGATATTTTTTATTTTGCATATACTACAAACTACAAAGAAATATAGGGGAGGGACTACAACTAGGGATAAAGAAAAGCAAACCACACTAGATTAAAACCCCAAGAGAAGGAGATCTTTTCACTGTTAGTAAATATGTTAGTACCATTAGTTTTATTATCGCAATATACTTCTTGAGTTCTTTCTTATAACAATTCGCTTCTTGCATGTTATTTTGTTAGTTGTTATGAGAGAAGTCTCTGATCATCATCTTATTCTTTGCTCTGGTTTCTCTTCAGATCGCATAAATCTTTCGCCTTTTACCAGAGCTGTTCTTTCAAGAGCAGTCCTTGAGAGAGCTCTCTCAGCCCCACCTACCTCACAGGGGGTCTGTTGTGGGGAGGGGAAGGGAAAGGAGATTGTAAGACACTCTGAGTAAAGGGTGGGGCATAAATTCAATCTCTTCTTCTCTTCTATAGCCAAAGCCTCGTGGGCTGAATTTCACAGCATGTGAATTAGTCCTAGAAGTGTTGTGACTCTTGAACCAAATGCAGTCTTCCAGACATGGGTGTTCATAAAGTGTCTCAGTACAGAGGAACCCAGTTTTTGGGACTCCTGCTTAATTGGGACTCCTGGTGTGTGCTTTTGGCACTCCAGAGAGTTATCATCACAGCCCAGAAGATTATTGGCTGTCCTCTCCCATTCATGGAGGAATTGTATAGTTCTCTATGCTTGAAAAAAGCAAAGAACATTTTGCAGGATTTGTCACACCCTGAACACTCCCTGTTTGAACTGCTGCCTTCGGGTAGAAGATATAGGACAATTAAAACAAGGACAAACAGATTAAAAAACAGTTTTTATTCGAGAGCTATTATTGCTTTAAATGCTGTATGAAATTGGAATTTGGGTGACATTGGTGGTTTAAGTTGCAATGTGAACCTTAAGGGAGTTATGGGATGGTTGTGAATGGTTGTGTGAGTGTATATGAGTATGGTTGTAGATCACCGAATGATTGCATCTTAATTTCGTTGTACTATGTACAATGACAATAAAGTATATTATTATTATTATTATTATTATTATTATTATTATTATTATTATTATTATTATTATTATTATTATTATTATTATTATTATTATTATTATTATTATTTTCCACTTGTGCAGGCCTTATGTAAGTTAAACAGAGACAGAAGGGAAATGGAAAAAAATTAAGCCTAACATCATATGCTTAAAAGCATATATCCGTGGCTTCTGTTACTTCTGTTTTGGCTTGATGGGAAACAGAAGGAAGTCACAAGCAGGGCTATGTGCATTTTCTTTTTTAAAAAAGCTGCAATTCTGTATAAAGCTCATCAAAATTCTGTACAAGAGAAGCTCAGTTCCGCTCGCAATATGAATCATGCAGATATGTTTACATTTTTGTATTGTGCATAAATAATAATCTTTAGAACTATTTTGCATAATTTATTTTGGTTTTGCCAGTCATAGGGAGCAGCAAGGAGTTCTACAGGATGCTGAAGCCCCATAGTGAGCCAAGAGAAATCTCCGCCCTCCCTTTTTTGCTGGCTTCATCTACATCAGCACCATTTTCCTTGTCTCAGTCCCCTGCAGTCCCCCTCCCCCCAGTCACCAGAGAGGTTTTTTTCTGGCTTTTTAGAAAAAGTCACTAATTGACATATCTCCATAGCAACCAATTTTAAACTATAAGTAAGTACTATAGCAGTATGTCAGTTATCAGGTAGCTGATATATCACTATAGTTTAAATTCAATAATTGACATATCTCTGTATCTTAAAGCTATGTCTGATATGTCATTAAGAGATTTTAAAAGCCCTCCTGTGGTGTGGGGGGTTGGAATGGCAGCTTCAGGGGACTGAGGCAGTGGAACTGTGGATAAGTGGAAGGGACAGATAAAATTGTTGCTGTATGGATGTAGCTTTACTGAGAAACCAGAGATTGCTTTAAATGTAGACAATAAGACTCCATTTAGATATGTTACCTAATGAAGGTTAATAAAACTGTTCACTAGCCTGGTGACAATCTTGGTTTGTGCACATTTTTGCTTAACTACAGGTCAGTGTGGTCTCTGAATACAGCCCAGGGGTTGTTCACAAGATACTTCAATCACTTTAGCAAACCAAAATATCCAGTTGTGTGCTTGAAATGTCTCTCTTCCCCCCCCCCCATTTTAAACTTCTACTTTCAAAGACAACCATGCTGGCCGGATGTTTTTAGACCAACTCAATTTCATTTGTGCACTTTTATTTATTGAATTGGCTGTGGTGAAAAGCAGCAAATAAAATGAATAGTTGATAAGTATAGGAACAGCAGCCAGGCCTAATTTCAATGTAATAGAAGAAAAACATGGTAGAGTGAAAAATGGTTTTGAGTGATGTGGTCTAGTGTAAACTCTTATGGGCTCACTTCAACAATGCTTTTTTAAAGAAGGCCCTATGAGTTAGATTTAAAAATGGGCCATGAAAAAGAACACAGTGCCATTGGAGGCAGAAAGAGCTGGTTGACATTTGGATTGCCAATATGGTAGGATATAAGGCCTCCGCCACACTTATCCCACCTTTGTTACACTGGTGGAGTCACAGAGGAAACAGAAGACGGCAGAGAAAGAAGGTGAAGTCCCAGAGGCCATTGTATCACTACAGGAGGAGGACCTTGGAACCAGGAAAGAAATCTTTTCTCAGTTTTGAAGAGGCAGTGAGGGGCTCCAATGGCAGGCTGAGTAAGTGACAAAACATAGCAGATCGTTTGGTGTTAAGTGAACGCTGATGCACATTGTGAAAAAGTAATCTTACTGTCATTCACAGTCTAAGCTTTTGGATCCCTGGAGACTGGACACAGTGAACTGTGTTCCGTTTCTTCTAAATCAGAATCCTATGCCATCTTTTACCTTTTTTTTCCGTGTGTGTGTGTGTCTCACAATGCATTTAATCTAGCTAGTTTCTTAAATTTACCCTTGCATCAGTCAGTGTAACACTCAAATCGACTGTTGTTACTGGATGCCCTGGGGAGATACGTGCAGTTCTGTGAACCACCTTGTTACTCTGCAGTTTGAATATTAAATGTGGCACTGGCAACTTCACCTCTCTAATCTACTAAAATTATAAGGTGGATGTGCACAGTGCAGTGGGCACATCCTGCTTCTGCCTGCAACCTTGGCAATATAAATATTTAACATAAACATGAAAAGGGTGATTAATTCTTGCATTTCAGTTTATATAAGCCAGTGGCCAGCTGGGCTGAAAAGGAATCCACTTTGGTGCTATTGCTGAGCGAAATAGCTAGGTACATTTTTTTTCTTTTCAGCCTTTTCCAAAACATCTGGTATATGTAATTATTGAACAAAAAGACATCTAATGTTTTGCTAGTTTGTTCCAGGATGGTGTTCCTTTGCAATACAAATACAAAATATGCAAAATTTTCCAGATTCTGTGGGTAACATTTATAATGTAAACATAAGAGCTGACTAAAAGAAATAAATAGCTGAGTTGGCATATTTTTAACTATGTTAGCACCTCTACAACAATTTACTTGTTTAACATTTTAAATAGTTCAGGTGGATAACAACAGTAAACATTATATGATAGAACAAAGTTTGGGTCCACTGGCACCTTTAAGACCAACAAAGTTTAATTCTGGGTATAAGCTTTTTTGTGCACACTCATGAAAGCTTAAATTCAGAATTAAACTTTGTTGGTCTTAAAGGTGCCAGTGGACTTAAACTTTGTTCTGTTGCTTCAGACCAACATGGATACTCACCTGAATCTAACTATATGATAGGGTTACCAGATGTCCTCTTTTTAGAAGATATGTCCTCTTTTTTTGGTGTCCATCCTCTTTTGGGCTGTTTTAAAATAACTGATGAAAATATCTTCTTTTTGAGTTGGAAGGTTATTCCTACATAGTAGTAATTATCACAGCTTAAATAGTAGGGGGATTTATGAGATTTGTCATAATGATCACTTGTTTGATGTAGTCAGTTGGGAATAGGTGACGGTCCTCTTTTCTGCTTTTCAAAATATGGTAACTGTGGTGTGTAACAAATTATCTCCACAGTCATATATTATTATAGTATTCATAAAGTTTCCCATAGCTACTAAATGTTTATCTGAATGAAAAGATCTTGTCACTTCTTGAAGTTGCTTGGCTATGCCCATCTTTTAGGTGAAGGGATCACTGGTGTTGGAAATTAGCTACAAAAATGCTCTGTTGTATACATAACACACATTACTTCAGATTTGCTCTGAGTACTTTCATTTTGCACCAGCTCTCTCACTGTCTATCTGCTTTAGCTAGTTTCTAGGAATCGGTTAAAATCTGTGAAGGGACAAGCCATTGGCATTAAGGCAGAAATACAAAGACAATATAAAGACAAAGATGGATAAGGCAACTTTGCCCATAAATTCACAATTTTTAGCAGCCTAGAAGAAATGTGCCAGCCAGCCAATCAATATACACATTAATTTTAAAATGTGTTTTATGTTTTAAAAACAAATTTGAATCTCTGGATTTTTTTGCTGAAGAAATCATGAGCTCCATGTTTGACTACAGGACAATTTCTGATTGCCAATGGTGACCGGGAACAGTGTTAATGTTAAACTTTGCATACGGCTTGACAGTGGCTGATGGCACCCCCCCACACACAAAGAAATAACACCAAGGAAGCCCCTTTCCTGTGGTGATATGTC